GTAACTATGAAGTGAGAAATAGATATTGGCAAGAGGAGTATCGTCATCTTTCAACTAGATGTATTAAAGTGTATGGAGAATAAAATTGACTTGAAGGTGCAGGGGATTAGCCACTTTACTTAGTTAAATTTGCGACTTAGCGCGCAGTTGATATCTCCATGGCATCCTTTTATGATCTAATGAATATGAATAGTCCTGAGTCATTACCTAGTTGGGCCTAAACCTTTTAAACTTATCTTCAGAACTCACACATTAAGATGATTGCGAATTAGTTATGACAATTGGTCATGAAACCATGGCTTATTATACTTTAATCACATTAATGAGATGATGACACGTGCGTTTGAGTAGGGCCTTCCCGGGCCCATCGCTTATGGACATGCCTGCTCTCATGCTGAATGGTGTAACCCTTATGTTCGCAAGATGGATTGCGCACAAGGTTAATAGGAAAGCCGTAGAAAGGTCATTTGTTTTTGGGACGCATTTAGGGTCCACTATGATCTTTTGTGGACTAGATATTGTGTAGGGTATTGATTTAGCTTAAACCTCAATCTCGACACCCATTTATTGATTACGATACGCATCTTGAGTCAAGGACTATTTGATCTCCCATAAGTTCAAAAGTTTGTCGAAGATGATTTTTTTGACATTTGCAACATATTTGAGGTCGAAGATTCAATTAGATAAGAAGGCTTTTGTGGCTTTTAGTTTTACCCAAGGTGGCGAAGTATCTATTTGAGTTATTTTTAAAAAAAAAAACTCTTGTTGAAGAGGGGAAATGGATGGCCTTAGGGGGGAAAAATTGATTTTATTTCCTTAGTACCTCAACAAACACCCAATATGGTGTTAGCTAAGAAGGATCAAATCTCTCTATTGTTAATGTTTAGGTGGATTAATGGCGCAAAATGTTCCCCAATTTGGGGAATTGGCACGAGTTTGTTGGGCCTATATCCCTAAAAACTAAGTTTGCCCTCCAATATTCAAAGATTTTACAACTGCCATTTTTTGGAGAGTAATGGAAGGTTAGGCGGAAAAAGCCATTATGGGGGCGATCCTGGGTAAAACCATTATTGTTAAGGGCTTTTTAAAATTTTCTTTATTTTTTTACTTTCTCATAAAGGGGATTTGCGAAAAAAGTTTCAGGAACCTTAGGGGTTTCTATAGCGGGCATTTATTTGTATTTTGGCTGGTTTTTTCTGGTAAAAAAAAACCCACCAAAGGTTCGTTTTTGTGGGGCCCGGGGGCAATTTTTTTTTTTGTATGGCCGGGCGGGGCCCAATTTTTTGGCCCCCAAAAAAAAAACCCCCATTCCGGGGTTTCCCATTGTTTTTTTTTGGGGCCCCAATTTTAATAAAAGGGTAAAAAAAAGTAAGGCTTTTTTTTTGTTTTGGTAAGGTGTAAAAAAAAAAAACTAAGGTTCACATAAAAGTTTTTATTAGTAAAGTGACGTTGAATAGAGTATCTCTTTAATCATGCAACACCAGATGCATTTTAAAGCAAAAATAATGCATTATTATTTCAGGAAAAATATTTTTTATTTTCATAAAATTTTCAAAATTTTACAGAAGATATAAAATTTAATTCCGAGTCTAACGGTACCAACCATGCTTAAAACAAAGCTATACCGAATAAATTATGGCCAATTAACGCAATTCAGAATTAAAAAAAAAAAAACAAACAGAGCCTTAGAGCCAAGCTAGCGCGGAAAAAACGGCTCAGCTCGGCTCGCCGGCGCTCAGCGCAACTCGGCGCGAGTGAGCTCAACGCGGCGCGGCGCATGGCGCGCGCGTGGTTGCGCACGTGGCGCGGCTCGAAACGGCACGGCTAACGCGCGTGCGTGGAAGGGAGGGGACAGATCGCGCGGGGGGCGCGTGGGAAGCGCGCCTAGCGCGTCTCAGCGCGTGAGAGCGCGTGGTGGCGCGTGGCGCTGCTAGGCGGCGTCATACAGCGCGTGAATCACACGCGCCGCCTTCCCAGGTGTTTTCTGGTCCGATTTTTGTACTGTCGGACTCCATTTTTCACAATAAAAACATTTATGGCATTAAAAATGCCGCCTTCCCGGGTGTTTTCCGGTCCGATTTTTGTACTGTCGGACTCCATTTTTCACAATAAAAACAATTATGGCATTAAAAATGACATTTAAACAACATAAAAATGAGGTATATCACTCTCTCAATCTAATGGAGTTAAAATGCCAAAAACCGTACACTTCATCTTCCTCCTCCATTAATATTCATGCATATATCATGTATATATATTTATATAAAAAATATACACATATTTTAATGCATAAAAATAAGCACGAAAATACCCATATTTATGGCTCTGATACCAATGTAAATCACAGTATAAAAAATGCAGCGGATAAAATATTTAGATCATACCTTTAGATGATAGAACCTCGTGGGTAAATCACGTGCTTCCAGAATCTGATAAACCAACCCAGCAGTGAAGTGATTTTACAGAATGAATATCACCCACACAAATCACAGTGCAAATGACTTGATCGTTGTTTTTGGGAGAGAGTCAGTATATGGGTAAAACTCAGATCATACGTTATTTCTCTTTCTTTTACCCATAACCCATATACCAGATATATATAATATGTTATTATTATCTATCCATATCAGTAATGGAGATAATATCTGTATCCTGAGTGGTTATCCTAAATAGGTTTGAATTCAATTTCAAAACCTATTTGGATAAGATTCAAATTCAAATTCAAATGGTCATGCCACATGGGCGCCCATTACTAACATAACTATTTAGAAAATACTTCTGCATTAACTAGTTCGATCATCGTATCCTGGAAAACAGACGCTGGCGTTCCTCCAACACCCATTGGTGAGGCGGTGAATCTGTTTTAAGGAAACTGTATATACCACAGGTTTTGATTTGCATCCCTTATCCTTTTTTCTTTAGACTTTTACATTTAATCTATTTCTTGTATATTATTTTTGTATGTTCATGTGAATTCATCTTGTAATATGTTCTAATATTGTAATTTATTCTCTAATCATGTGTTTTTCTTTAAGAATTGAAATAAGATTGTTTTTTCTTTACTTTTTTTATTCTATGTAATTTAGTTTTATTATTATTATTATTATCGAGGGAAAATAGCAACAATATTACCATAAAAGTCCGTAACTTCATTTCTAAATCACAAATTATCGTAACTCCTATTAGAAAAATATGTAAAATTGACCACAAAAATACGTAACATACACCACAGAAACACATAGTAGGGTGCATATGGTACACACCCTTTAAGCTATGTTTGGTTTATGAATTTGGTGAGGAACTTGAAAAGAGAAGGAAAATGTAATACACAGAAAAATAGAAACCGGCGGATTGATAAAAATGTCACTAGAATTTGCCATTTTTCTTACCAAAAACCGGCGGTTCGATTGACAAATAATAATGAATTTGCCTTGGCGGTGCGGTTCGGTGCGGTTTTGGCGGTTTCGGCGGTTTTGGCGGTATTATGCACACCCCTACATAGTAGGGTGCATATGGTACACACCCTTTAAACTATGTTTGGTTTATAAATTTGGTGAGGAACTTGAAAAGAGAAGGAAAATGTAAGTGAATGTGAATGAAATGTAATACACTCTACACACCTTCAAACACTATTTTTCCTTTCCTTCCTAAATTTCTACCTAAATTCATTAATCAAACTTAATCTCAAAGAGTGTGTATCACAAAATTTCCTATCACGGTAGCAGTTGTCTCCGTATGCTCTCTGATCACGTTGTTTTCCACTTGGTGTGGTATCATCTTGAATTCGAGTTTGAATTTGTTCAAGTACGAAAATCTCAACTTTGCAGTGAAATTAATTTATTATTTGACTACTTTAGATTTATTTTCATAATTTAAACTGTTCATTTTATATAATTTTAACTATTCATTTTATATAATTAAAAAAATTATTCATACAAAAAATTAAATTGATCCATTGTCATACTATTAGACCATTTTTGTCCATATGGCCTATACATTTTTAAGAATAGATTGTCCATGCGCATAATAAATATGTAATTTAATTATATGATTATTTATATTTGATCAACTTAGTTTTTTTGCATTCCTGTTATTATTAGATTATCATATAAGATGAACGGTTCAAATTATGAATATAGGTACAAATTAGTCTCACAATACACCAACTTCATCCATGAAGTTAAGATTTTCAACTTTAACAAATCCGAACTCCTTGAATTCATGGTAGAATTTTTTAACATTAAATCAATAAAATAAAATAAAAAATTATAAATTACTTTTAAAATCTAATGTCATATATTTTTTATTCAATCGGATTGGATAACATAAAGAATTTAGCATGTCATATCATAACACTCTTTACTAGAAATAACAATGAATTGTGTAATTAATCTTCTATTAAATTTTATTTTATTTTTGTCGTATCATAGTTGAGTTTGTGTTGACGGTATGCCTCATCTCTTCAGATTCTCAAAAAATATTGTGGGGAAAGGAGAAAAGTTCTTAGAGACAGTTTGCTTCTTATACATTTTCTAAAAAAACAAATTCTCCAACTACTAAAAGATTAAAAATTTCTCTGTTCCAATCCTCAGTAATCTGAATTTGGGAGGTATTACAATTTGTACATGATGTGTAATACTACCATATGGGATGTTTTTATGTCTCTAATATCACACACCAATCAAATGAAGCTGATCACAGAACCAATAAAAAAAGTGAACAATGGCTATTGTGATTTTGTGATTGCAACAAAATCAAAGAACCAACAAAACCCAAGGTGTTCCTTTCATTACAATACAAATGGTATACTCTGCAAATGAAGCTTCAAAATGGAATTTCATAGAATGTCAATCCTCATAAACAAATAATGCAACAATTCGATCTGTAGCAAACCTGTTCGTATCAAGAATCAAGATGTACATAAAAAATAAAAAATAAAAAAATCTTATGAACATCACACGTGCAATGCTATCAATTTAAATGCACACACCCAATTGATGTCACAGAAAAATGAAACAATCCAAGGCAATGAGAGGATTATCAATATCTTCCATGGGAATAGCTTCGATATCTTGGTTAGAAAGTACTTTTCCAACCACAATTTCATCAATCCTTGAACCAATCCGATAAGTGCACATCTCTCTGTCCATCAAACACGTGCGATGCCTACTTGAATTGTTGATCGGACTTGCTGGCCTAACATTTTCCTTTTTCATCAATGACAAGCCTGAATTCATTGCATTTGCCTTGGATGCAGCCCGACTTTTGCAACAACTTTCCTTAGCTGAATTTGTCAAGCCTCCACTAGATCTTCGACTCGGAGATGGAGACCTCAAAGCTCTACTTGGAAGATAATATGTTGAATTAGGCCTCTCAGGCTCTCTCCTAAAGCTCTTCTTTCGCGTAAGAGTAGGTGAATTTGCGCAACTTCTCTTCTGCGTTGTTGAAGTGACTCGCCTTGGCGGAATTGACTCTATTGACTGTTTCACCCGTGCTACACTAGGTTTTTGGACTTGAGCCTTGGTTGGAACTGGCTTTTGGAGACTTCCCTTGATTTGATCAATGCGAATTATATGTGGGTTTTTCTTAACACAAGACCACAAGAACTCGTTGGAGAACGATCTCTCCTTGGAGCATATACTTGAAGATGACAGTGACAATGAGCTGCTAGTGTTACTATTCGTGCATGAAAACGAAGAAACTGAAGAAGTAGATGCAGGAGATTTAGTCGGAGAGAGAGGTTGTTTAGTTGAAGAAAGAGAAGTAGAAGAGATTGGAGGTTGTGAGATTACAAGCTTGTCTTGGACATGGTTAAAGACTTGCTGGTTCTCTCTCTTGGGTTTGAATTTGCTAATGCAAGACCCCATTGATGACCTTGCTTGGGTTGCACAAATGAGAATAGAAGAAAATTTTTAAGGTTGGACATTACAAAGTCTTTGTATTCACATATATCAATGCAGTTTGGGATAGAAAAGGCAGAGGGAAAGGTGTGGGGGTGACTTTTGCCTTTTGTTCTTATACTTTTTTCAGATATTTGAATTTGTTTGGCGGGTATAAATCCGTTGCATAACGGTTATATAGAAGAAAGTGTGATGGTGGCTGCGTCTTTTTCATCATGCTTCTTCTATTTTAGAGACTTCAGTATGGAATTTAAGTTGGGGTCTGCACCATAATTCATACCATGTACCATGGTCCATGGACCTATTACGTTTAGTCAGCAACTCAGGAAAAAAATAAAATAAAATAAAATTACAAAAGTAACCCTAGGATTTGACTTCTATAATAAAATAAGCCTAAATTTTTGTCAATTTAAATTCTAAATTTTGATTTATTTTTGAGAAAATTTCATTTGTATCCCTATACTTTGTCTCGATTTTCAATTACACTCTCAGACTTCGAATAATTGCAATTTTACCTCCAAAGTTTATGAAATCGTATCAATTTTGTCCATACCGTCACATTTGAAACGGAAAAAGTTAAAAAAAATTAAATTTTGGCCCCAAATTTCAAAAGAAAGATGCAAATACACCCTTTCTTACCCAAACTCACCATCTTTCCTCTTTCTTCAATTTTCCAACCCAACTTCTCTCAAACCCAAATTCACTTATGCACTGACTTACTCAATTCTACATCCTGTTGTGGATTACTTAAAAGTGAATAAATTATTGAGAAAACAGAGCGGCAATTGGGTTTTGAAGAGAGAGAAATTGTCAAGATTACCAGTGTGTTTATGAAACCCTTGGCTTTCCCATGAACTTTAACCCCAAAAACACAGAATCAAAAAAATAGGATAGTGCAACTGCCTGTTTATAAACTTCAAAATTTTGAGAAGATTTGAAGAACCCACAAGCAAATACAATAAATATGAAATGAAATCACCAAATTAACACATGATTGTCCATAATATATGTTACCCAAAAGACAACCTAAGAGGGGGGGTGAATTAGGTTTTTACAATTAAAAATTAATAATACCCTAATAAAAATTATGATTAGCACAATAGATAAATATAGTTAATGAAATAAAAATAATTAAAACAAGTGTTCTAACAACTATGCCAGTTAATGATTTTAGCACAGTGAAAATGTGAAATATAGTTACAAAAATTTAAATAAAATAAAGAGATAAAGAAAAGAGAGGCAAACAAATTATATTAGTTCGGTTTTAACTCAACCTGCGTCCACTCCTCAAGTTTCACTTGAGATTTTCCACTATGCTCTAACTTCACGGGGGTGCTAGCAACCTCTTTACAAATGGAGCAATCCTCCATGGATTTTATACAGACTTTCTAAGTCAAGAATACTGAGTGTACTGCACTCTTACAAGATTGAAAAGAATGTGTTTTTGCTTTCACAGAAAGCTACAAGAATTATCTCTCAAAGATAGATATGTAAAATGAAGATTTGGTCTTTTTGCAAACCTCACATAGGAAAGATGGGCTTAAAGCTATAAGGCTCAGTGTATAATTTCTGAGAGAGGATGTAAACAAAAATTGAATAACACTCCTCAGAGAATTTTTCAGAGAATAGATGTGAGTGATTATAGATCAAAGAATATTTTCTAATTTTTTGTAACTTGTTTACATTAGAGGCTTTGGTATATTTAATGAAATTATAGCCGTTGTATTCATTTGAATTTATAGCCATTTATAGTCGTTGTACTCCATCATTACTAATTTGAATATCTTCTATTCCATCATTACAAATTTGAATATCTTCCACTTGAGCCTTTTGAATAGCTTATAGCCGTTTATAGCTGTTGTACTCCATCATTATTAATTTGAATATCTTCCACTCCATCATTACAAATTTGAATATATTTCACTTGAAGCTTTTAAACCTTTTGAACTGCTGTTGTGCTGGGCTGTTTGAACTCCTGATTTAATCAAATATTAAATACATTCTAACAACATTTAGGATAAAGGTTTAGGTGAGAAATAATGGGGCAAAATAAATTTTGATTCTATTTTTCTCTTTCAAATAAATTAAAACATAATTAAATAAATCATCAAAATAAATGGTGCTTCTATTTTTCTCTTTCAAATAAATCATCAAAATAAATTTTGATTCTATTTTTCTCTTCCAAATAAATTGAAACATAATTAAATAAATCATCAAAATAAATGTTGATTATATTTTTCTCCTTCAAATAAACCATCAAAATAAATTTTTATTCTATTTTTCTCTTCCAAATAAATTAAAATATAATTAAATAAATCATCAAAATAACTAAGTCTAACAATATATATAGGAACCATTTTAGAAAGAAAGATAGATAGTTTGGCATAGATCCAACAAACAAAACACTCACAATTTGTCTATATATATACATGGCTTTGATGATTCTGTTAATATACTCACAGACTGTGACATTATGCGTTCCATTACGAGCCGAGAAGTCTCAGAAGAATAACGAGAAAGGATTGCTGGAGAAAGTGGTCGCCTCCTCTACTTCTCCGGCAATGTCCTTTGGAATGGCTTCACCACTACCGTTGTCGTAGTCTTTAAGTCCAGCGTTGAAGGTCTTAGATAACATCTGAGTAGAGTAGAAAGCTTTGGAGACTTCCATAGAAGGCACACCTCAAGAACGAGACAAAAACTTAGAGGAGAGAAATTGAGCAATATCTGTTTCTGGGTTTTTTTGGGTCGGTGTCAGAGGTGGATGATAAAGGTCTGGAAAAAAAAGAGAGAAAAGGGTAGAGAGAGAAAGGTGGCGGAATGGTGGTGGTGGTGGTGCTAATGGGGAAGTGGTTATTGAGGAGATAAAAAAAGGGTTTGAAGAGAGTGTGTGTGTGTGTGTGTGTGTGTGTGTGTGTGTGTGCGCGCGCGCGCGTGTGCGAGCGCTTGTATGTCTCTCTTTGTCTCTCTACTGGTTCAGTTTTGTGGGTGGGTTTACATCTCTACAGGTTCAGCTTCACATTTTTAGAAAGTTCTGAAAGAGAGAGAATGTGAGTTTGGGTAGGAGGGGTGAGTTTGCATCTTTCTTTTGAAATTTGTGGTTGAAATGTAATTTTTTTTATTTTTTTCCATTTCAAATATGACGGCAAGGGCAAAATTAATATGATTTCAAAAATTTTGGAGGTAAAATTGAATTATTCGAAGTCTGGGGTTATAATTAAAAATCGAGACAAAGTATAGGGGTAAAAATAAAATTTTCTCTTTATTTTCTTTCTAAACTATTTGTCTATTTTGCTTAAGTAAAATTGATTAAAAAAAAATTGGTATTTTAATCATTAAACTCAATCAAAAATGGTGTTTTAAATACTTTACATACACTTACCTTGGGTTTAATGATTTAAATACTATTTTTTCTTCAGTTTTACTTAAGAAAAATAGGTTGTGGTTTAGTGATGTAGAAGTAGAACAAGTAAAGAGTACTTCTTGGAATAACTGGACCCACAAAAGGCAAGGAAGAAGTTAAATTGGGGGTAATAATGACACTTTTGTGACAAGCTCTAAATTATCTCAAATTTGATAGTGATTGGAAATGGCATTTTAAATGGCGATGTTGACCAGTGGATTTTAGCCGAATTTTTTCATTTAGGCTCTCAAATTAGTGATTCTGTCTAAGAAAAGTTTCGTTGTGAAAATAATTGTATTTTGATAATGTTGTCTATTTTGAAGTGTTTCTATTGGTAATTTTCTATTTATTTATGTGTTTCTTATTGCATTAGGGTTTAGTTCCTTATAAATAAGGACATATGTCTTAGGGCAAATAAACTTTTATTCAATACAATTTTGTTTCTGTGTGAGAATTTCTAACCACACTGCCAACTCAGTATTCAACTGAAGAGCACTGGCAGAATAGATGGCGCCTGAATGACCTGCAACAGAAAGAAGAGATTCCGGTGGTGGTTCGTCCACCCGGGGGCACTCTGATGATCAAGTCAGTTATCTCTCAAAGATAGATCAAGTACTAAAATCACTATTCAGAATATAAATTGCGTACCTTAGACCCATTGGGGGTGCCTCTCTTTTATAGCCAACTCAATCCTAGTCCCAATCGAAGCCTAGTTTCAATGGACTTCTGCTCAGTGCTTATCCTGGACTCTCCGATAGATAAAGATATCCAGGCTGAGTCCTTCCTCATTTTAGGACTCTTGTCCCCTATTCAATTATCCCGGACTCCGATATCTCCGAAGATAACCTCGGCCTAGCCGAGATCACCTCAGCGTAATGACCATGACACGTGGTACCTCGGCTTACACGTCGGCGTCACCTTGGCCACATGTTGGTACTCAAAAAATATATCCCCACAACTGCCCCCTAAGTTCTATTACCTAGGCATCCTGAGGTGATGGAACCTATATCGTTCATGTCGGCTATCTTGCTGTATCATCCATTTACCGAGGTTGTAATACACTGGCTTCTCACAACCAGGTCCTGTAGCCTGTCTCATCAAGGCTTTAGAATTTTTAACCAAGTTTATTTGAGTTTATTTAGCCGAGGTTTTCCTATCAGCCGATGTCATTGCTTTATTAAACCAAGAACTCCAAGAGTTTTATCACGCGTATAACCTGTCATGCAAAATAGACCATCCGTTTCTGCCACGCGTTCGTCCCTTACTAGACCGTACTCGATACGCGCCTGTAAGTCGTTTCGCGTCTGCGCGCGTTGTCAGATCAATTCGTCGTTCTAGGCTCATTGATGGTGTTTTGCCGCCATTCTTCGCGTTTTGATCAAAATCAATTTCTCTCTCTCTGTCTCTTCGCTTTTTCATCCTTATTCTCAAGCTCTTAACTCTCTCTCTCTCTCCAAAATACGCCATTGTTTCCAGATTTTCAAGCTCTGCAATAGCTTTCGTTCATCTCCTTTGGTGAAGCTTTTGCTGTCCTTTTCTGATTGTAACCGTCTCCTGACTCCGGCGT